TAACTAGACCGAGTAAAATGAATAATAGTCGTTTAATAACGGCATGTTCTGGCAAAAATATTCCAGTACATTTAATGGAAATATTTCATTATGGAGTTATTTGACCTTAGGAAAATATTTTATTCTCGAAAATAGATAAATAACAGATGATAAAGGATTGTACTGGATGACAGTCAAGGGACTGTCAAACTATGACTTATACCATTTTTCTTCGTACTTATAAAAAAGAAAAATAATTAATAATAATTAATACGTTCATAATTTTACAAAATACATATGTTAGATTGAATTAACATTTTTCCAATGGTTACAAACTTGATGCCGTTTACATAATAATTGTAATTTAATAGTTTTTCTAAACAATTTTTATATCTTCTCTATCAACATTGTCATCACCATTTATCAACTGCTTTATTTTTCTTATTATACAGGGTGTCCCAGAAATAAGTGCAAATATTTTAAGGGGTGGTAGATCTCGATAAAAGAAACATATTTTCTCTTTATCGTTTTTCAAATAAGTCCAAAATAACGGAGTTATTTTACTTTCAAAATTTAAAAAAAAATTATTTTTTGCTTAAATTTTGAGAACCACTGGATCTTTTCTGGATTTTCTTTCTTGTAAATTTAATCTAATACCTATGTTGCCATATTATCAAGAAATTATGTTTTTTAACTAAAAACTAAAAAAAATTCAAAAAAATTTTGAATTTTCGAAATTTTTTTTTCGCGAAAAAAACCTTATAGGCGTGTTTCTGGGGTTGAACTATACTACCAGTAAAAATATTTGCACTTATTTCTGGGACACCCTGTATATAAAGAAGTTATTACATACTTTATTAAACAACATTTTATTTTTTATGTCAGTCTAATCATCATTTTAACTCTGCCTACTTGAAACATGGCATAAAAATTGGATATTGTATAACTCTTTTATATTTTTAACAATCGTTTAAAAAGGCATTTTAGTTTATTGATATATACCATCCTGGTCACTTCATCTGCGTGGTCTGTATTTTAATGCATGCGACGGAGATAAGTATAAATGACCGGTTGACAGACAAAGAGACAAAATTAAAGCAATGTTGCCGGTTTTTATGTGCGTAGAAAAAAATAAACTATTTTAAAAACTTTTATTTATACTCCTAAAATGAAGATAATATATCTAATCTAGATATAAACTATTACACCTGCACTAAAACGAGTAATTAATTGTGAAAAATTAAGTTTCAACCCTAGATGCAACATTTTTCGTAATCGCCCACTTGTGCGGTTTGGAATTATTGTGATGTAAAATCCGGCAACACCGCATAGAAGGAATGCATCAACCCAATTTTTATCTATTTTTAATACATTTGATTTTTCATTAAGCTGTTTACATCACTGTCTTACACGTTAAAATCCATACCACGCAGTTTCGATATCCAGATCGGTATACAACGTGTATTGTCCTTTATAACAAATGAACTAAACATTAGCAAATATTTAATTAGTAGAAATACTAGAAAAAACTGGATTCTACGTGAAAAGTTCTATTAAATCCGTTATTACCTTTTTGATAAGGTGTCAGACAACACACAGGGTTTTACAAAAAATAGCCAAATGTAGTAGTAGTATGGGAAAACCAAAAGGTTCTTTATTTTTAATATTCAGCGAGAAAATCTTGAACTGTCATCAAAATTGGACATTCACACACGACAGCACGAGAATATATGACTTTAATAATTGAACATTCAAATATTACAGAAAAAAAAACTATTAGATTCTGATTAAAACGACCTTTAACTGTCACTTTTTTGGACGACTATTGCATCAGAAATGATAACAAAAATTAATAAACCAAATTGCTAACCGTTTTTCCAAAGTACATTGTCGTTTATTTTTAAAACGAAAAAAGTTAAAATAGGAAGCTATTTTACGTTGATACCCTGTAAATCTAGCAAAAAGACAACCGCTCTTGGAAAATTGCCCGTTCTAAAATGGCGTCTTTTGTTTGCCTTGGACGTCACACAGTGCCGGAAAAAGTGGACGTATCTAGCCAAAACCTACTAAGTTCAGCAATAAATTTGAAATTTCGCGTATGAAACAATACACAATGGCAAACACCGAACCCGAAACTAAGTAAATTTTGAAACGCCGCGCCGTCACTATGAATACGTAAATTTATGTCGGGGTAAATTAAATAATATTTCGTGTGATCTAGGATAATATAATTAATCAAGCCCTTTGTTATATTTAAGAAGTAGTCATGTCTGTTTAATGTTAGAGAAATCACCGAAATTTTCAGTGTGTCAACATTTTCACTTACGTATGATAACTGGAAACTGGAACAAAATATACCTAGCTAGTCGATTCAAGAGTGTTTTGTAATGGACATGAATGTTATTAGAATTCTCCTAGATTTTTCTGTTGAGTGATTTATATTTTAGAGTTACTTATTTTAGAGTATCTTCAGGCTTTTTTGCTACCCTACTTTTTTCTTTTAATATAATCTGAGTCAGTCTTGCTCTATTTTTTTGCTCTTTTTAGGCTTCTTAGGACATGTCATAAGAACTGTATTTTTATTCTACAGGGTGGTCTGAACTGTATTCCGGAAACTTCGGCAGCATATTCTGCAGATAAAAATAAGTAAAAGAGTTCGTATAAACGTATGTTAATGCTTAATTTCGGAGATACAGGGTGTAGAAGTTTCATTTTTATTTCGATTTTTTCTAATTAATTTATGAAGTAACGTAAATATTTGGGTGAAAATTGATATCTGGGAGTTTTTTGACATGAGAAATTTAATTTTGATGTCAATATGGCTTCTACTTGTAGAGGGCGCCACCTACATATTTTTTAACTGGTTTGAAGAGTAATATCTTTTAGTCCGTGCCTGTATAAAACTACTGAGTAAAAAATATACATTTACGACATTTTTTACATAAAAAAGGTTTCTTGGGAAAAATCGCTGCGAGTAGTGGTTCTCGAGATATTTGGAATCGAAACTATCAATATCTGTCATCATTGACATAAATTAAACATGTTGACTAAATAGTTATTAGACTGAAATCATAAATTTGAAATATTTTTGTGCCAAAAGTTCATCAGAAACTGTTTTAGCATCATTTCTTCGCAGAAAAATTTATGAGTAATTTACCAAACCAAACCAAACCGAATTTATTATTTGAGTCAAATAACAATCTACCCAACGTGTTTATTTTTTGTCAATAATGACATGTATTGACTATTTCCATTCTAAATATCTTGAGAACGGTTACTCGTAGCGATTTTTACCAAGAGACATTTTTTACGTCAAAAGTCACGGAAATGTATATTTTTTCACTCAGTAGTTTTATGCGGGTACGGACGAAAAGTTATTACTCTTCAAAACAGTTATTACTCTTCAAACATGAAGGTGGCGCCCCCTACAAATAGGATTCATATTGACATCAAAATCAAATTTCTCATGTTAAAAAATCCCCAGACACTAATTTTCATCGAAATATTGACGTTGCTTCAGAAATTATTTGGAAAAAATCGAAATAAAAATGAAACTTCCACACCCTGTATTTCCAAAACTAAGAATTTTAGAACATACATTTATAACTACGAACTTTTTTACGTATTTTTATCTGCAGAATATGCTACCGAAGTTTCCGGAATACAGTTCGGGCCACCCTGTATATTAATTATTCAATAAAATACATTTATTTAAAAAAAATAATGATCAACAAAAAACGTTCTTATAATATTTTGATAAAATAATTTCGTTACCTAAAACATTATTTTAGTTAAATCTTTTGTGTTATCTCCTTATTTTGTAATTATTATTGTATGTATAACAACTTCTGCGACCAAAAAATATTAATTAATGTCATCTGGGAATTTGGGGGAGTGATAGATAGTACTAGTCAAAATACGAAAAAAAACCGTTGATAGATTCTTATGTAAAAAGTGTTGTAAATGTGGCTGCTGCGAGACTATAAGGCGAAGAAACTGTAATAAAAACTTTTAGTATTAATGACCTTCCTCCCTAAAATATAGATGTCAACCATGTGGTTCAAAAGTTCTAATCGTCGTCATAATTTATCTTGTATACCATGTTAAAAATCTATAGGAATGTACCTATATTTAATAACAATTTCATACAGTGTACATATACTGTGATCTAAGTAAATTATTCTAGGTTAATGAAGTAGATACCTATATGGGGGGAAAACATTTGAACTATTAAAAAATATATTTCCATGTAATATTTACGTTATTCTAGTAGATGTTTCTGACACCAATTACTCGTGCAATAATAAAAAAAACAAAGCTTGGTTTTGTTGATTAAAAATATCTATTTCTAAACTCTCAAATTTTCTCTAATTCAAAATTTACAAAATTTGCAGCCGTTCTTAATCCTTTCACTAATGTACGCTCATGTTTTATACAGGCAATTATTCGACGAAGCTGTATATAAATTCTCGATGAGATTAAGACTCTCTTCGCTCTAGTTATTTCAAATGTGGGCGAATGAGATTCTGGATTTTGGTAGCTCTTAATAATGTTAGTGCGCTCCGAAAATGAATGAATAGAGCTCTGAAATAGAAAATTCGCGGAAAATTTTGCAGCATTTAGATATTCTTTAGCAAACCTGAAAATTAGTTTATTTTCTTAAGAATATACATATTTTTGGTGATATGGAAAGGCGACAATGCTTGAAATATTTAGGAAATTAAAGATCAAAACTTGCCAGAAAGTTATTAGTGAGCTGTAAATTCACAAATCCATTATAGGCTTTTTTTTACTCATAGAATAATGAACCTGGAATGTCAAAGGAACTATATTTCATAATATCGTATTGCCAAATGGCTAAATAATGTTTATGGAAATTATTGCTATCTAAAAATACCAAGCTAAAATAATATTTTGGTGTAAAATTCCGAGAAAGAACAAACCTAACTTTATTCTTTCTTAACTAAATGTTAGTTAATGTTAGGTAAACATATTTATTATAAATTATTTTCTTGTTTCAGGTGGTTTTGTCATTTTGATGATGACAATTATGTGAATGTACCACGACTGGTGAAGTTTTTGGGAGACTATAATCCCCGGGAAGACTGGTATTTGGGAAAACCCAGCATTCAAGCTCCTTTGGAAATTGTGAGCAAGGATAAAAGAGCGGTGAGTCAATAAACCATATTAGCTTTGTTATTGTGGTATATTATATGTTTTTGTTACAAAATGTTATCAACGAATAATAACGAATGGCGAATGTTAGCATTCGTTCGTATTCGTTCGCATTCAGGAGAAAATCTTTCTCAGGTGTAGACGGTAGACGTGCATTCGCGACGAATGAGTTCACCGAGAACGAATGCTTTTCTTTTTCTGTGGGTAAAAGTGAGTAGATTGAAGAAAAATGCGAGCTATGAATTATTGTAAAAGTTCCAGTTTAGATGTATTGATAACATGCACGAACTGGATTGCAGTAATATTAAAAATTATTTTCATTAAATTCCCAAATAAATAAGAAAATATTAAATTTGAATTTTTAAATAGAAAGCTCTGTATATTATTAGATTTTGACATTCTACGACTAAAATAAGTTTTTATTACGGTTTAAGTCACGTAAATATATCTACCGATTTTAAATACCGTATGATCGATTAAAAACGATGTTAATAAGTTGGCAATGGATTGACGATCGATGACAATCACAATATAATTTTACATTTAAAATGACAGCGACCTTCATTTCCAAGCCACTGTGTCGCCTTTTTTTTTGGATCGCATGGTATTTCCAATTTAAGAAAAATGCAGTAACAATTTTAACGCTTTGCATTTTTCTAGGCGGATTCAATGGCGTATATCTAGTTGTATTAGACCTTTTTTAAAGGAAGAACTATTTTTAACGGAAGTATCTATATTTTATGACGTTTGTAATTAATACTGGATGCGTCTGAAAAGTGGCTCATTCGTATAACTTTTTTATTTGTCAGCTAAAAAAAACGAAATTTGGTATCTTAGCATATGACATAAATTAGGTTTGATTGACGTATTCAATTATTTTTGGTTACTTCCTGTTTCACTGGAAATTAGTACAACTTTTGATTTTTAAATGACACCCTCGGTATATTTTTGCTTTATTCGATAGAAAATGACACTCTGAATAGAATGACATATCATGTGTCAACTTTTTTGACGTTTTCGCTTAGAAAAATCGTATTTTGAAGTTCAGTCTAGAGTGCCATCAACTGTGTTAAAAACACTAATTTTTATTACAGTTGGTGGATGGAACATTTGGTTTTACAACAGTAAAATGAAACACTAAATCACCACAATACACCAAAACACTTTTACTTTTGTACTGGACGCCCGTTTTGCTAATCATGTTAGCATCATCAGCAGATTATAGTTTTAATCATCAGAGTGAGTGTGATCAATCTGCTGATGATGCTAGCATGGTTAGCGAAACGCGCGTCCTAAGTGTTTTATTTTACTAATTTTTAATGAAGGAGCCTTTTGGAAAAATAGATTTAATCGTCTAATGTTTTTCTTGTCTTGTACTGGACGGTTAAAAAATGCCCAAATCGTATTTTTAAACATATTTCAATTTTTTCAAGTGGATCAAGGGTGGCTCATTAGCATATTTGGAAAAAGCTTTTTTACGAATAATTTGATACCACACACTTGGTATTTCGAGTCAAATTGTCGTTATGAACCGCATGTAACAATTTCAAGTAAGCCATATGCGCAAATGTCAATGACATATGATATGTCATTCTATTTAGAGTGTCATTTTCTACCGAATAAAGTAAAAAATAATACCAAGTATGTCATTTAAAAATCAAAAGTTGTAGTCATTTCCGGTGAAACAGGAAGTGACCAAAAACAATTGAATAGGTACGTCAATCAATCCTAATTTATGTCATATACTATAATACCAAATCTCGTTTTTTTATCTGAAAAAATAAAAAAGTTATAGGGGTTGAGCCACCTTTGAGACGCACCCGGTATATGAATATTTTTATTATAGTTATTTGACTCATTAAGATTTCTTTAACTGCAAAATATTTTCAACCAGAAACTTTTGCATAACCCTATTTCCGCGGAGTATTATACATATATTAGCGAATAGAAACAAACACTATATTTCACTGAATGTAAATAAATTTAACATGACCACGAGCCGTTGTTAGTCTACTAAAGTTCTTGCATTGCTTGCTTACAACATTGCAGTGTATGAGTGTATGGCATTTAAGTTGTTTTAGTTGTCCGGTTTGATTTACATTGATAGTAGTCGAGTTCTAAGTTAAGGCTCGCTGGATTGGCAAAAATTATAAAGCTAATTTCTTGTTCTCTAACGCATATCTTCTGGTCCATGATACATGTAAATTAGAATAGATTTAATTGGTAGTATGTTGGTGTTGTGCCGTAAATTAAGCGCTGAGATACCATTAAACATTAAGTTTTATAGTTATTTCATTTTCACTGACACTTTGATATTAAGCTTTAAAATTAATAATTTAAATAAATATTCTATTTTATATAAGAGAAAATATTGTTACGAGAGATGTTTGTAAGGAAAATTATTCTTAACTCATATTACAAAATACTTGTAGTAATTGATATAATTTAAGAATATTTTAAAGATTAATTATATTATAGTTACAGACTACGATAAATTAGAAGAATCTATTAAGGTTTTGTCCTTTTTATTGTTTTTCTCATTTGAATGGACTATCATTAAATTGTAATCGAGGGTGCAAAATCTTTTGTTTGCACTGCTTTAGGTCTTTTCGAAATTATTACCTGGGATTAGCACTCTATCGAGACGGTCCTAAGCTTCTTTAAAATTCCAATTCTAATTTATGTTTTAATTGAAAATTTTATATCATTAGCTGCAAAAGACGTTCGCACTAAAATTTATACTCGACATTAACTGGTAATTATACTAAACTATTATATCTGCTAATTTGCAGATTACAGTTGAGGGTTGGAACCTTTGGTGTTACACAGCAAAATAAAAACACTAAATCACCACAATACACCAAAACACTTTTACTTTTAGTTATGGATGCGCAATACTTAATTATGTTAGCATCATCAGCAGATGATTATAAACTCATTTAGTTTAGAGTTTATAATCATCTGCTGATGATGCTAACATGGTTAGCGAAACGCGCGTCCAGTGTAAAAGTAAAAGTGTTTTGGTGTATTGTGGTGATTTAGTGTTTTTATTTTGCTTTTTATTTTGCTTAATTTGCAGATTGCCAATTTGTTACATTTAAAGGAAATTTTTGGCAAAAGAATTACATTGTAGATTTGTAGATTGTAGTTATATCTCAATACTTATCCATGTAGATTAGAGATGGGAAATTTTTTTATTTTATAAGGGGTAACTACAAATTTTAAACTATTGTGCTGTAGAGTCTAGTTTGATGATAGATAATAAAAATATATTCAACTAATTTGTATAAGGTATTATTAATAGAAAGTTTTCCATAATCCACATTATGTCTCGATTTTTTAGACTATGATTTACGTACTACTTATAATATGTACAGCTAGATTATTCTCAATTTTCACCATTTCTCTTTATACACCAATTGAATATATTGTGTGTATTTTTGAGATCTGATATTTCTGATCAAAATCAAAATCGGAGACAATTTTTTCACCCTTTATATTTTATCAAGTGTGAAAAAATCTTAATCAACTGTGAATAAAAATTATATAAAAAAGTAACAATGTTTTCCGTAAAGTTTTAGTTTTTGAATACTAAAATTCCATAACTTTGTAATATGTAAAACATTTAATTTAATTTTTCTCCAATTCTTAATTTATTACTTCTTATTAATAATATTTTTCACTGAATGTGTTTTAACAGCAATCGGACAATACCTATACAATGATCGCCTGATTTCAGGATTGGCTCTCATACTGAATTAATTCTATTTTGAAATTGAAACGAATAAATTAGTTATTAGTACCATTAAATTTGTACTAATAATAATTAGCTATAATTAACTTATAAATATACTAATATTGCTCCCTTGCATTTTTGTCCCGTTTAGCAAACTTTTAAATGAGAATCATTTAATAATTAAAAACATCCTATATGGCTTAAATTTTGAGAATATAGGGGTGCTGTGTACTACTATACATCTATTATTACGGCCAGGATGGGAATGTAAAGGAATTCTTTCACGTTTAGCCTGGTACCCACATCCTTTCTGTCTAGCATTGTAGTGATATCTTCCCTGAATGTAATGTAAGGATAATGCACCTGATAATAGCGAAGCTTTCTGTTAAGTAATTTAACTTTAACTCTGAAGTTATTGAAAGTTTTAAGTTTTTAAATCTTTTTTAATAAAAAATGACTGATTAAAGTAATCATATTTTTTTAAATTTCTTTCAATATAAAAAATAATATTGTAGGTAATTACAGAATGGCATCAATGTGTTCTTAAAAACGTGATATGTTTTAATATCAAGAATATCAATATTATTATCATATTATTTTATTTAAATATCTCTTAAGATAAAAAATGTACCTATGAATCAATATCAAATAAAACTTGAGAAGCCTATATTATTTAAAATAATAAGTGTTGTTTTGCGCATTTACAATGTGAAGAAATGAAATACTTTTATTGTTTCGAAGATTTCAGATGTCTGAGAGTCTGAGAGGTTATTTATATTTGGAAGGAGGATTGAATTGGACATGTTTATGTACGGTATACATATCTCACATAATATATGTGTATTCTAATATAACAAAGTAGATACCTACCTAATAGCAAAATGTATTATTGAATATAAAAATATACTAATATTGTTTTATATAAATTATATGCTACTTGTATTAAAAATAGTTTATTAATAAATACTTAATCCTGATCAATCTGACTACTATATATCACAAATTATTTGCAATTTTTGTCAATTTACAAATTCAATTTTCTGTCAGACTTTACCTTTTCGTATCCAAATTATAGAGCCAGTGATGGGCTACGTCCAATGCTTCCCGTTTAGTCAGCCATAGATCGTCGAGGTTATCTGATCTGTAGGGCAGGCAGGAAGAAGATTTGCAGATTTGCATTTGTCGACATTTCTGTCCAGCAAACCCCATTTGATTAGATTAGATTTTACTGGGGTCACCCCAATTCTGATACGGTTGA